ATATCATACTCATACAGGAGTTTCGATGCCCTAGAAACCCTGTGTTCTTTTAGTCATCCTCCCTCCCCCTAGCCCTAACTCCTTTTTCCTTGCCAGAGAATATGTGCGCTTGCCATGGAGAGAGGGAGAGACAGAGAGACAGGGGAGGGGGAGGGAGAAAACACAGCCCGATGCAGGGTGGTCACACGTGATCCTCTCTCCATTTCTGCATCCTTTTGGAATCTAGGGCGTCCACACATGCACATGCACATGCACTTGGCATGTTTTTCAGACTCCAGGCAGTCAGCTATGTGGGAAATGGCTGCCTTAACCACCTGGCCTGGAGCTGGCCCAGCCAGAACATCTTAAAGTAAAATTTTGCCTTTCTTATTCTCCCCCACACCTGTAAGCCTCCTGACTCCTGGTGTACCTCTAGGTGTGTCTCAGGGTCTGAGCCCCATGCCCACCCTTCAGATTGGCCTGACTCATATGATTGCATGGATGACTAATGGCCCTCAAAATATACCTTAGGCATCCCTGTCTTGAAAAAAAAGGTGATAATGCCCCTTATGTCTTGAGTAGGTGGACTCTTAGGAAGTGCCAAAAAGGGAGGTAAAGACACCCCAGCTCATCAGACACACCTCCCCATGGGTGTCTTCTGCTTTTCCTCTTTCTCCCTCCCTTCTCCTCAGAGCATGTAAATTATTTCAAAATTCCAAGATTCATTCTCCCAAGATGGTTCTTCTGGCAGCAATGCCTTAGCCAGAATGTCTGTGGGTGGCTGAGTGGGACAGGGGGATTTGTAATTTAGAGCTCACACACGTATTAGAACCTCAGAGAGAGATTTAGTTCTCACTTTCTGGGAGCCCAGTTTGTGTCTTCCAAGAGCCTGATTTCATCTTCTTTGTGTTTACAATATTAGCATATCTCCTGGAGGAAAAAAAAAAAAAACAAAAACCTTGCAGCCTTTCTGGTGTATCCAATAAACACTCCCCACGCCATCTAAAAAGTGGGTGTAAAGTAACTTTTCATAACCACCCAAATTATCTGATAACACAAGAAAAGATTAGTGGGAGACTTTGCTGAAATCCCAACTGCCTCTCCTCTCTGCAGCTCCTCATCTTTGTGGAGATACAGATTACAGTTGCCAAGGAAACAGGACCAGAGAGAGAAAGACAGAAACTTTGTCTCATTTGGTTTGCCCAGGACTCACAAAGCAGGCCGGGCTGTAAGCAGAGCTGGACAGGATTATGGTAGATTTCTAATTTACTTAGTCAAATTGCTCTTAATTCATAGTCATGCCCCAATGTACATTTTTTTCCCCTCTGAAAGTTAGGCCTTGCACCTTGTTGTCCAATCTGTGACAAATAACAGGGCTTTAAAACTCATTGTCTATGATTAAATTCAAATGTGGGACAGATGGTTTAGTCTAAGTATGTGTCAGACAGGCAAAGCACTTAAGATTTGTGACAGGCCAGACCGGGAATTAACTGCTAAGTTTTGCATTTATTCAGACATTCATGTGCACCCCGAAGATGGCTGTAAAAGTTATTTCAGTGTTCACGCTTTATTCAAAATACTCGCAAACAAAACAACGGCTCTCTTTTTGGCAAGCAAGATGCCCTAATATCAGCCCTATTAACCCAAAGTCCATTTTTATCACGCTGTATGCCCTGTGCACATCTCACTTACTCAGACGCGCTGTATGACAGGCACAGCCTTCTGAAAACCCAGCCTGCCTGGAACTCAGCGCTGGTCCCCACTTCATTTCTGTTAGCCTTCTTATTGAAATATTTAATTATTTTATTAAACAAATATTTGTCTGTGGAAATACACAAAGATCAACCAAATGAGAACAAGCTCAGGTTATTTGTTCAGCGCTTGCTATAGCAAGTGGGCTAGCCCCTGTACCCTGCATTTGGTAGAGACTCAAAGGAAGACAGAAGTGGGAATGCTTCATTGTGGAGCAATGGGGGAGGCTCCAGGTTTGAGTGATTGAAGGGTACTGGAACCGGGAGGCTGCAGGTGGCCAGCAAGAAGCAGGGCATCCTATGGTGATTAGCTAGGTGTGCATATTAGGTTTTCACTGTTTGGTCCTAAGTTGGAGGCAAGGACAAAAATTAAGGAAGCTGGCATGAGGGCTATTAGCCACCATTTACATTGGGGGCTAATCATTACAGGGTTGTTGCTTGGCATTCTGGACCAGTTAAGAAAGAGTAGTCTTGGGCGGGGCGGAGGGCGGCTGGCAAGCGGAGTGGTGATTAAGGACGCTGGACTCCCACATGGTCGGCCGTGGTTCAAATCCCAGATCTGGTGGCTTGCTTTTTCACTTTCTTGCTTGTTCTTTTCCTCTCTGGTCAAATTAAAGAATTACAGTTAAACAAAATAATTCTTAAAAAAAAAAAAGTTACAGAGAGTGGTCTGATAGCTTTCTTTCTCTGGGCTGATAATCGCAAATAATGGGTTGGTTTCTGGGCTGTTTGCTACAGATTGTGGGTCAGAGTTCTGTTTTCATATATGGTCTGGCCATGATCCATTTACTCAGTCAATAAACATTTTACAACAGAAAGGTACAAATAGCATCAGTGAATCATCAAGTATAACAACCACCCAGGGACCCTATTCATTTTTAGGTTCTCTACAACCTGATGTTCAGAAACCTGTTCTTAAGAAGAGTTTGCGTCTCAGCCTCGGCTCCCGGCATTTGCTTCTGCAGTCCTCAGTCTTGGGTGGGGCTCGTCAGCTACAGGCCTCCTCAGTCCCTCTCACCACACTGCATCTTCCGGACTCGATGGACAGAGGCAGCCCTGGGTTTCCTACAGTCAGGCTCAGCCCTGTGACTCACCTTTCTCTACATTCCTGGATCTCGAGAAACAGCTCAGAGAGCATGCCTTGAAATCCAGCCCCATTTCTGTGGGCAGGTTCTGTAATCTCCCAAAACCTGTGTCTTCATCTACAAAATGGGAGTAATCATAGTGCCTGCTCTGACGGGGTTTCTGTCAAGATGAGCATGGCAGTGGGCAATGAACAAGCACCCAGATTCCTACTTAATGATGTACTCCTCATACGGTGGTTTAAAATGATAGCTAAAAATTGCTGTGGGCTAAATTACTACATAGCAGGCATCGAGCTTGGTACTAAATTTATTATAAATTTGTTGTGAAGATTGACGATGGTTGTTTCACTCCATGGCCTAGTGGTTAAGAGAGCTGGATCTCACATGGCTGACTGCAGGGTCCCAGCAGATTGGAAAAGACAGCAGGTGCTTTTATGTGTCCAAAGTCTCAACAAGATGGAGAGAAAAGATTATGGCATGACCATGCCCAACTGGGGGATGCTTTCACCGTCTACCTCTCTCTCTGGTGAATATCTGCACCCTCTGGGAAATTATAAAATAAATAATACTTAATGGTATATCATGTCCTTAGCACACTCCCCAGCTCGCTGTCGCCCCTCCCTAATGGGTGCTATTGTTTACAGACCTGTGTAGCTGTCCAACCACTGGCCTTTTTTGATTACTAACAAAATCACATTATTGTGTACCAAGATTAAAAGCAATCCTCGCCAAAGTCCTACTTATAGTTTGGGAAGTTCATATAGCTTAGTTCAGGCTAAGACATGAATGTAAGTCTCTCTGATAGACCTTTTGGGTAAACTATTACGATTCCAAGAAAAAAGGAGTTTCCTCAGGCACATGCTCTTTTCTCTTGCCTGTCCCATCTGGAAAGCAGATGTGATGGCATGAGGTACAGCTGCCATCCTGTGAGCTTGAGGACTAGAGACCTAAGCCCAGCATGGCAAAGACAGAAAAGTGCCAGACCCCTGAGGGCCTGTGTGGGGTGCTGTCCCAGTCCTGGGCCACCAACCCCCAATGATTTTGCTACTGTGGCCATTTTTCTATCCCATAGCTGATTGACTAACTATCCCAAACTAGCACCGCCACCATGTGTGATTTGAATAAAAATTTCGTATGAATAAAATTTAAGAATTTGCAGTGTCTCCCTAATGTATCCACATGTCCCAGCTGATAGAAAAAGGACTCAAGTATGAAAGAAAGGTCTGTTCACAACCGTGTCTATAGGAATAGTTCTCAACTTTCGAGGAGGATTAACATCGGGACTCTCCGGACAGTCAGAATCCCATCTGTCAACTAACTTTCCCTTCTCCTCTGTCATTTGGTATCATACATACAGTCATATACAAGGTTTCCACGAGTCCTCAGCACTTGGAATGTGAGGATTCAGACACTTGCTCCCAGCGGCTTGGCTCTTGAACAGCTCTGCCCAGCAAGGATCCAAATGATCCTTGTGTCAAACCTGAGACATCTGCTCTGGCATCTTGGTCAGAGTCCAAAGACTATAATTGCATTATGCATACTTGTGAGGTCTCCCAGAGTTCCAATTAGGTAGTATTTATTTGCTATGCAAAAAAGATTATGCCCAACACTGCTCTGGACACTAAAACAAGGGGTCCGACTCAGTCTAATGTGCTGGGATCCCAAGAAGGGGGCAGGTCACTTCATCTGGCCTTGCACTGAGCCGCTAGGATAGCTAACTTGGAGGAGGCGATGTGTCCCTGAGGGGTTAAACTCTTTCTTTTCTGGGCTAGTAACAGAGAAATAATATGCAAATATTTCTAGTCTAAATGATTTCTAAAGTGGATGTCAAGGAAAAGAGGATTGAACTTCAGTCCTTCCTCTAATAGCTTTCTATCAAAATATAACCCACATGAGGAGTTCAAAAACTGAATTAAAGGATGCTGTCTTAATATCATATGGTATGACATTTTATATTCTAAGCCACGAGTGACCCAAAAATGAGGACGGTCTTCTGCTTTACTCAAATATTCTAGAGGCCAAACGTTTTATTTAAGGTGCAAAATCAATAAATGTGACTACATGGTGAAATAAAGCACATTCGCAAAACCTTTGGAACTATTTTCCTTTTGATTAAACACGGTACACATTTCCAATGCCCGAAAATTATGTGGTACCCAAATAAAGGTAAGACCTACACATTAAATGAAGAGAAAATCTCTAATAATTTATTGACCTTCAGTTTCACATTGTGAAAAAAAAAATGAGTTTTACAAAACTTCAAAAATGTAGTAGTAGCAAACAAGTACATATGAACATGAACATTTTACTTCTTCAACTTCTACAGTTTTGTACGTGAACCACATAGTCAATGGCCAAGGGAAGGATATTATGCAGATCTAATCACTCTTATTCAGACAGGTGTCAAGCCCAGAGAAAAGGCGCTACACAATTATACCAGAAGTGGAAGGCTGCCCTTTGTTATCCGTTTCTACAGCAACCAGCCCACAAAATAAGAAGAACCTTCTCTGTCTTATGCCAAGGTTTTTGTGTGTACTGTGCTGTGAATTGTATTTGCTTCAAAGTGCGGGACGTTTCACAGGGTGAGAATGGTCAAGTAGTGAGTCCAAATGCCTACATCAATTCAAAGAGAGAGTCCAGAAAGTTCTACAGGCTGGGGGCCCACCCTTACCACAGCTCCCTCTGGCTCACACACAGTAATTAATAGAGGATTCAAGGACAGGCCACAACTTTGAAACAGCTGCAGAAAATTCATTGCGCTTTCAGAAGCCAGGCAGTGACACATACATCTCTAGGCAGATTTGCATCATAAACTACAGAGCTGTAACTGCTACAATCTAACGACACTGACGATGCCGCCAGGGTACAATTAGACATTTGCCTTGCTCAGAACGCATCTAGGAACCAGGGGCTGACTGCTTGAAGGTATTGTGATCCTTTGCTTCCAACGGCTCATTTACTTGGTCCAACTATAGCCCACTTACTCATGGCACGGACGGACATTTACAATTAGTCTAAAGTACTACGCTGGAGAGAAATGCTAAGGATTTATCTGTCATTAGACAATGCAAACACACAATGTAAAAGGGTTTCATTAGCCTTAAGCTCTATTTTCTAAAGTACAGCAATGTGAGAAACGCAGACAAAAGCAGTTCAAGCTGCAAACTTCGGTCTTCCCCAGATACCTCCAAGGAAGCACCTACATGAGCCTAGCACTAATACCTACCATAGCACGTGCTTATCAAACAAGCGAACAGGCAAAGAATGTATTCACAACTAATTTCCACCTCTACAGGAAAACCTCTCCACAGGGGCCACTGCTTACAACTTGTTGGTGTTTTGTGGCCTAATGTGTCACTTCTGTACACCAAAGAGGTTTTGTTTTTTTTAGAGATTTACCTAAGGGTTAGCACTAAAGTATACGTTGTGTCAACATGAATACTGACCTGGAGAATTTTTTCCACTTGCTAAATCCTGCAGCAAGAACAGAAAACAATGGATCCAGGTCAAGCAAATCTGGCCACTGAGCTTACATCTGTGATATTTGTTTTTCCCATTAACTGTGGTTATGGCAGAGCATTCTCACAGGGTAATAAATAGATTAAATAAATAAACTTTGGACAATGCCTTTACCTGTGCCCTATATACAGAATTATTCCATAGAATTTTCCAGGATTTCAGGATATTACACAAGGAAAAAAAATTGTTAAGCAATTTGGTCCTTTCCAAATTTCAGCAGCTGAGAGTGAATTAGATACATCTGATGGGAGGGACAAGGGCCAAAAAAATGCCTCCCTTAACCCCATCAGCCATTAGCACAACCACACCCCATGAAACCCCATTGAAAGTTGGTTGAGTTTAAGAAAAGTCATCTCCACGGTTTTTCTATCTCTAGGATGTCATTTAAGTTTCTTATAATCCTTCCCTGTCTTGACATTAAAAAAAAATTATAAAATAAAAACTCCCCTCCCCACCCCACCCTCTAGTTATACTCCACATTTTAACTCGAAGTTCTCATTTTTGTGCAGCAAAGCACATCTCTACAGCCACAAAATGTGCAAAACATACAACCATTCACACACGTCCATACACGTGAAGACAACTGTAAGCATTGTTTCAGCATGCAGGCATCAAACAATAAATAGCTAAATCTATAACAAATTTCTTAACAGCCAAGGGAAAGTTTAAAGTCACTTATAAATAGAAAAAAACATCTACCAAATGGCTACCAACAATGTCCCCATTGTTCAGAAACCTTCCTGGGGAGCACAGCCCCATAGAGATTAACAGAGAGTCCAGTGGTCCCGGTCTTCAGCCAGCCCAGCCAGCTTCCCTCCTGGACCCACAGTTGGGCTTTGACTCTCCAACAGCAGCTGGTGCGGAGGCTTCAAGCGGGCTCCTTGGAGAGAGGTGACAACCATTTCAAATTTTACACATAAATGGTGGAGCCCATGGAAATCAAATGCTGAATATGGTACAGCAAGGGAAAAGGTCCAGCTTTTCTCTCCCTTTGAGGGGCTGATCAACGCTGACATTAATCCACAATTACAAGACAAGGACTAGATCACAGGTTCACGCATTCATATTTAAACCATGTGCTGCTCGCACTGAAAATCCCACCCCTCCCTCACTCCCTTCCTTCATGACCAGTTAGAGCATTTACAAGGTGCAGTGGACTTGGAGTCTTGTAGCAATTTCTTTTCTTTTTTTTCCTCTCTTCATTCAACTTGGCCTCTCCATAATCGAAATCTTGTGTTCTCAGCAAGTGATGGAGAAAGCTAAAATAAGAGGGGAAAAAAAAAAAAAGAATGAAGAATTCAGGTGATGCCATAGTTTGAAAACTTTTGTCAGAAGCTATAAAATTACAAAAACAAACAAAACACACACACACACACACACACACACACAAAAACCCAAAACTTCAATCTCTGGACAAAGCTGGGCAATATTGCTTCTGAAGTCTTAATTACATGTTCAGTATGACCTATACAAAAATCTGTAAAATATTTGCTGTAAATGCACATACATGTGCATGCATGCATTCATGCAGATGAGTGTCCCAAGAAAAACCAATAGAATCTAAAGGACTTTCACTTCCTTTCTAAACAACTGTATGTTCCAAGTCAAACCAACTTGTCTAGGTACTATTATGAGTTGCCATCTTCCATTCCTGACGTTAATAAAATTCCATTCTGTAATTAAATAGAGCCACTGAAAAGTGATTACTAGGGAGTCAAAAGAAGGTGATCCCTGAGCAAACACCCTCCTTGGCCCATTTACTATAAAGGATTCCATATTAAATGTATTGCCCACATAGAAGGTAGACATATTAATCCTCTTATTTAAATGCATCTCTGTTATTCATTATGGCAGAAATCAGTCTCGTTTCTTTTCACATGACAACATACCAGGCCTCGATGGCCCAACGCTAGAGTTTATTCTCAGAGTTCATTAGTCCATAGTTAAGAATCACAGCTATGGTGTATAACAGCGCCATTATCTACAGAATCTATCGACATCGGGCATGAATATAAAGCCAAAGGACCATAACCAGGCCTGGCATTTCCTCACACAGCTCTCACTCTTCCCGTTTGTTTACTTCTGATTTCATAAAGGGACATTGTGCAGAGGGCTTAGTCTTTACAACACCCACCCTATCTGTTCACGGAGTACATCTGCAGCCCGGGTCTAGGAATCTGTCTCCCTATAGCTGTAACTCTAAGTATAGACAAAGGGGACTCTGGAGGGGCCACTCATTACTTGCACTGAATTCTTCCCACTTTGCTTTTGTGTTTGCAAGTCTGATTCATTTCATTAGTTGTTTCTTTTGGCTCTTTAAGAACAGTGATTCAAGTCTTCAAGGCATTCCTTAGACTATAGTGTCACCCCCTTACCCCCCACCTCTTTGACAACTATGTATAACATCCACCCCAAAGAATGTATCTGTAATAATATAAATTTTCAGGACATCACATACTTACAACAGAAAAAGAAAATCTAAAAGAGAAGAAAAAAAGCAAATCAAAGTCCAAGCACTATCAGGCTGGGGCCATGCAGCACCATGAAACAGAGGATAATCAAAGTAATTTCCTTTTTGGCCCTCCCACCCACTGACAGAGCAGGAGGAGACAGTTAAGATCTCCTTGGAGGACTGGCTTTTTTAGATCTAGGGAAACTTCTGTTAACACTGTATTAATTCAGTTAGCACCTACATGTAACTGCTCCCAAGCGCAGGACCGATACCAATCCAGCACCTCTTTAAGTCACTCCATCCAGCTTAAATATTTTAGCACTATCTTGTACGTAGTAAATTTTAGACATTTAACCAACATCCTCCCTGTCGGAAACTGGAGGAGTGGCTTTGATCAAGGGCTTATGCCGCCCTTTAAAGGCAGCAAACCTAGCCCTGTCAAATTTCGTTTTTATGTGTGTAACTCTCTCGCTGGTAAGCACCAAGGGTGAAGAGGATGTTGTTTCACATATAACCTAACACTTTATTTGCTCAGTTTCCCAGGGACTAAAAGTGTGTGATCAGGTTCCAATTTCCAGTATAGGGTGAATTCAAGAGTCTGCCAACATACTCACCCTGGGAAGAAGCAAAAAAATGAAGGATAAAGGTGACAGCAGATGAACAGCCAGAGAAATCTCATTGTCCTACCACACACAAAACTAATTCCACTGCCATACTGCAGAGCAAATTCCACTGCTACACTGCCGAGCAGGTTAGGGTCTCAATTGAAGGGGGAAAGAAAAGGTACTGGACTATATATTTTCACCTCTTTTTCCCCTCTATGTTTATCAGTTCATCCAAGCCTGAGTCAGGACAGATCTTCAAGAGAGTTTTAGTTCAAATCACCCAACTGACTAAGCTGCAACTTGAAGCCTAGAAAGGCCTAGAACTTAAAACTATGACTGAAATACATATGTGGTCTTTTCTTTCTACCTCCGTTTCCTGTGTTCTAGGCATCCCAGCCAGTCTGCCAAATACCATGTTTGATGTACTGCTACCATCATGGGCAATTTTTATGGCTCTTCTCTGCAAATATAGTCAGTTCTGGACTAACACCCAACTAAGCATGCTTTTAATTGATGCCTTTGCCTATGAGGTTCCTTAAACCTGCATTAGAGTTGAGTCATGCATTCATATCTCAAATGAAATAACCACTTTCAGAGCATTTGTTTATTCAGGATTACTGAGATGCCAGCAAGGCTGCAAAAACCAGTTTGGTGCAGGACGCTATGAGGTTTCCGACTGTTCCTGCTCCTTTGAAGGAGTTTCATTCCTAGGAAACATTGCATTACTGAGAACTCTGCTACCTGTTAACAGGCTGGAGGAGATAACTGAAGAAATGAAAACAAAAAGCAGAACTGTGCGATGCAAGTGAGGCCAATTTTAATGATGTTTTAAAATGAGCTATAAGAGATGGGTAAGGAAAAGACAAATGGGGGAGGGGTGGCAGATGGCATGGTGGTTAAGGCAGCTGGACTCCCATGGACTGACCACTGTTTGAGTCCTGGACCTGACAGCTTGCTTTCTGACTCTCCTCTCTCATTGTCTCTCTCTGATCAACTTCAAAATTAATTAATTAAGGATGATGAATAGATCTTTTTTAAAAAATGAGAGGAAACTGTTTTTTGCTTAACTTGTAACTACCCCTCGTTCTTTTCTTCCTTTTGAAGTCCCTTTCATATGTGAGAAACACACTACCGGAGAGAAACAGACTCAAAAGTTTTCAAGTAATGAGTTGACTTTCATTGTAGTTCCTCCGAAGCAGTTATTTTTTTCTCTTATTAGCCATAAGCCCATGAATCACCAAAACAAATTGCCACATCCCATGTGCTCTGTGCTACATTTACACAGGCTTAAGCAATCCCAGGGCCAGCCCTAAGAATCCTTACCAGCAGCAAAGTGGCCATGAGCTTTATGAATGCTGAGCTGTGCGGACCAGTTAATGACTTGAGCCAAGAGTATGATATACGCTCAAGGACACGAGACAACCATTATGTACTCAGATGCCTGATGCAGAAACACAACTTTTGTTGGCCCTGACAATAGGGTCACAGGCTGACTGATAAATTCTGAAAGGATGCAGTTAGGGTAGTTGCCCGGCTCTGTGTGTGTATCTGTACATTAAGCAAATTGATACAATGTAGGTATGATCTATTACGAGGAGGGATCTAGGTTTTTCTCTAAAGTTAATGAATATCCCAAAGAGAGTTATTTTCTTGAGGAAAAAAAAAATTAAATACGCTAATAATTAGTTTTGGAGAGAATAAACCAGGAATGGATCTGAATAATGAATTTTTTAAACTCTTTTCATTCCAGAAAGGATCTGAGGAAGTGAAATCTGAAGATCAACGAAGTCTCTCCAGACACAGTAAAGAAGCTCAGGCTTATTTCAGCAGTGCAGCAGGATGCTCAAGTGCTTACACTCAGGAGACAGACTGCCTGGATCTTCCTAACCAACTCTACCACTTACTAAGCTCTATGACCTCGGGCAATTTCCTTAGCCTCTGTGTGCATCCGGGTTTTTCATCTATAAAATGAGGCTAGTTATAGTATCTCACAAGGTGGTTATGAGGATCCAATGAGACGATCCATGTGTCACACACGGCACCATTGCAGTTCTCCCATACACGGCAAGGGCTCAAGAAACATTAGCTGGCATTACTAACAGGAGTCAGGCTGCTTGGCCTGGCTATATATTAGAATCACTGGAAAGCTTTCTAAAAATGTTTGTGTGCCACCGCAGACCAAATGAAACAAAGTCTCTGGGATGAGCAGTTTTGAAAAGCTCATTGGGAAACAGAGGCTCAGCAAAGGCTGAGGCCTCACCGGCTTCTGTCACGGAGAGTTGCAGCTGTGGACAAGCCAAGTGTTTAAGTTCTTGGGGACCAGGATTGTATTTTTATAGTTCTTGTTGTGCTTTGTGGCACAGGCTCCACGAGTCATGCCTCACTCCACAGTGAACTTCCACAACGAGCCTAATACATGTGTATTTACATCTACAGCCCAGTCCACGAGTCATGCCTCACTCCACAGTGAACTTGCACAACGAGCCTAATACATGAGTATTTACAGCCACAGCCCAGCCAACTTCTTACCTCATACTCACCTTTAGGATGGACTGCATTTAAGAAGGCAGATGTTTCCAGGTGCTGACAAACGCAGTAGGAATCAGGGAGTATGGGACTGTGGTTATGCTGTTCCACACATCTAATGTTGGATCATAGCAGTCCAAAGTCTTGCATCGCTGAATGCCAAAGTATCCTCCAACCACATAAAGTTTGTTTCCGGAGGCCACAGCATGGCAGCTCATGCGTTTTGCTGTCACATCTCCCACCTTGGTCCACTGGTAAGTCTCACTGTTGAATTTATAAGCAGAGCAGGCGGAGAACTCTGTATCTCCCCCCATAATAAAAATCTGGTTCCCCAGCACAGCTGCTGCTGTGTAACGCCAGGGCTGGGGACAGGTGGCCGGTACCGTCCACCTGTTTTCACACTGATCGTAACACTGAACCTTGGGGAGCTTATCATGACTGACGCTGGTACCTCCGAAAGCAAACAATTTGAGTTTGGCACTCACGACTGCGGCGTTGCTAACGCCTTCCCGCAGTGGGGCCACCATGGTCCATTTGTTGGTTGTGGGGTCATAATGTTCTACTTGCTTTAGAGAGACGGAGGGAGAGGCCGGGAGGCAGCCCGTTGCAGCCGTGTGCCCCCCGACCACATACAGGCAGTGCTTCAGTTCTGCAGAGCCATGGCCAAACCTGGCCACTAGCATGGGAGCAGCTTTGGACCACTCCTCATGCAGGGTGTCATACACCCAGACATCTTTCGAGACTCCATTCTCAGACCCTCGCCCTCCAGTAATGTACACTTTGCAACCAATTGCACATGCACTGAACTCTTTTCGTGGACTGGGGATGTCAGCCTTGGGAATGATTTCTTTGGCCTTCTGGTCTACCAGATATAGCTTGTCACACATGAAAGTCTGTCCTCCCAGGAGGAAGAGGGCATGGCCTGTTTTCCGAGGCCGGGCACAGAGACTGGTGACCACTCCATCATTCTGCAGGATTTTCAGTTTGCACCTGATGGCCTCTTCCACGATTTCCTTACTCTTTCTCTGCTTGGTGATGAGTTCCTCCATGGCCACATTCTCCATGAGATAGATGGCTGGCAGGAGCGCCAGCCTCACCGTCTGCAACAGCTCGGGGAGGTAGCAGTATCGCTTCTTCAGGTCGTAGCTGATCCAGTTAATTGCAGACTCGTACACAAGCCTTTCATCTTCTGTCTCCAGTTCTTCGCTGGACAAGAGCTGCACTACCATGTCCTGGGGCAGCTGGAGGAAATCTTCATTCTTCCTAATGGTTTGGAAGTTGCTGAGACACATTCTCCAAGAGAGCTCATACAGCTTGGTGCACTGGTGTGCATCGGACAGCAGCAGCATGCCCAGGCAGTTGGTGGGATGCAGGTTCTTCTCCAGGAATTCTGCACAGGCATCCCGGATGTCTTGGAACTCCAGCATGTCACCAGCTTCCAAGAGTGATTCTGCATTTTCTTCATTGATGATGACCCGGGAGGAGTATGCATAGTCAAGAAGCAGCTCCAAGACTTCTGGGTGGATGGAATTGTCAAAGTTGACTTCACTGTCCTGGCTTTCTTTCAGGCCACCACTGAACATGGCTTCAAAGTAGCGGCTACATGCTGCCAACACTGCCCGGTGGCAAGGGAAGGTCCTATTTCCAGCATGGAGAAGGACATCGGTGAAGAGCCGCTGCTGGCGTAAGAGGTTCAAGTGAGTAAGGACGCTGTCAGCATAGGAGGACTTGTGGAACAGGTAGATGTTAATGGAGCCACTGCTGGCCCTGGACTTGCGGTTCTCATGCACACTGACTGACATTTTGTTTCCTCTCCTAGAAAAAAAAAAAACCATTGAAGTGATGCTTCTGATATTCAGAACAGCAGAACAAAAGCAACAATCACATTAGACAAAGAAAACAGAACACTTTGTTGTGAGTGCTGCTGGTGCAGCCTACTGTTCTGAACAGTGTGTGGCCATTCAGAACAAAATCAGAGGCAGCTACCTGGAAGGAAAGGCCTTCGCTGCGATGCTATTGAGCTATTTGAACTGTACACTGTTTACAAAAAGAAAAAAAAAAAAAAACCGCTTAAGAGCAAGTTCATCTTGGGAAACCTGATTGCCAACTTTTAGAATATTGAAGTCCTTTAGAATAAAAGTCAGCAAAAGTCAAGAGGAGCACGAGCTCGCTCTCCCGGCTCCCTGTCCCAGTCCAGCTGATTCACTGGAGGCCACTTAAAACTCCAGGCCTCCTGTTCTCGTAACGCCAGGATGGGCACGCCAGGATGGGCACTGGTTGTAATGCCCTATGCAACATAAAGCCATGTGTAAAACAAACACCCGCTAATTAATTCCATTAAGAATTCCTTTGGTAAGCACCAATCTCCCTGTATACACTGTGAATGGGAAGTGTGAGGCCAACTTGGGCAATGAGCTGACCTTTACTTCAATGTTACAGGTAATTTCTAACCAGACACCTGTGCCACAGCCGAGTTCTAAAAGCACCCCTATATAAACACTACCGTGTATCAGCCAGCTTTAGTGAAAGTGCTGAATTAGATTCTGGCCACAATCACCACCCATCTTCCTGGCTCTGGACAGCTTCTAAAAGGAGGATTTGGCACATAAAAGGGAGAATATTTTGAGTAGCAAGCATGCTATTTCTCTATCCTTCCTGCTCTATATTAATTCTTGGAAAACCAGTTGGCAGAACAAAGGATCCATCCACCCCTCTCTTTTGATTAAATAGTGTATCACACCAGGACTGTTCTTGTGTACCTGCAAATGTTGGCACCTGCCTATGGAAGTTTGACATGCAGACATTGCTGCATTCAAATGAAAAAAAATGCAAGCACATGTGTGTGTGTGGTTAGCCATTGTTAATTCAGGACCACCCTAGAATTTATTTGCTGACTGATGTGCTTTCCTTGGTATCGCAGTAGAAATTCTAGTGGACTATAATGCTATCTGTTGGCATTCTTTAGTAAGAAAAACAAATAAAGCTAAAAGCTATAGGAAATGCCCATTATCTACCTTCAAAAATGGAATCGCAGACACCCTCCTTACCCCCTTTTACACTACCCCTCTGTTACTTCAAAGGAAAAAAATCCTCAAGAACCTGCCTGTCCAAGGATTCCTAAGGAAGCTGTTTATCCTCAGGGTAAACTATGTGGTTACAGTATCTATTCGAAGCACAGAACAGTGGGTTCTTACAGCACAGGTGAAACAGCCTGTTTTCTTCAGTCATTCAGGTATTTTTTAAATTTATAGTCCAGGAATTATTAACGAATGCAAGTGGATAGTTTGCTGCAGCTGTATGGGCTAGAATTCTGAACTGTGCTTCTCCAACTACCAGCTGGGAGACCCAGCACAGATCACACAGAAATAACAAAGGCAGGGGTCAAACATGCCCTTGACGCCACACACTATTAGGTCATGTAACTTGTTTTCTTTTATTTTTAGAGTGTTACCTTTTTGTTATGAGTAAACACTGTTCAGTTGTGAGAAAGTAAGCAACAAAGTCCTAGAGCGCTCCAGTGTTAAGACTTTACAAAGCACCCTGAAGTCTCCATAGGGACTTGGAATATGAAAAAAGGTGAAGAGCCAAACATCACTTCCACTGCCAGCTAAGCCTCTACCTACATTCTGGTCCATTTTAACCAATGCCCAGGGCTGTGCAGAATGACCACTGCCTGCTGTGAACCTTTGTGAAGTATTAAAACAGCTACTGGTGTCCTTGATGCTCCAACCACTGTAGCTGTCATGTGAATTAGCACCTTCAATGGGGAACATTTTGTGGAAGAATTTAAGTGAAACCTCAAAAGACAGTCTAAATCCTCCAGTGTAGCCTCCTCTTCTAAGGCTAAGTGAGTGCAGCTCTCACTGAGGAACGAGGCTTCCTGCACAAGACGCACAAGTAGCAGTGCCAGCACACTGGGCTGAATGATGCTGGGCCCAGCACACACTGCCATGAACATCAAATTCGGGTGGCACACGACGACATTCCCAGCCAGGCTTACACTTAAAACAGTTTGTTAAGAAGACCTTAGGATACAGGGTCTGCACCTCTCTGCATCCGGTGCTTCCACTCCTGTATTTTCCAGGTTAGCCCATAAAGCAAGAAGGAAGAGCCTATTTTTGTCCTCTTGGATACCATCCAGATGGAAAAGCACATCACAGTCAAAAATCGAACATTCTTGCAACAATATTTCATTAAAATAAGAAGTAAACTCGTCAGACCCAAGAGACACCACTCGGTTTCTCGTTTTAAATTGGGCGAACATCAAAATTTCACCAGAAACCATTTATGCAGTCACTCAACATACCTTCAACATAAAATGAATCACCCTTCCAGCATTTTTTAAGCCCCCAGAGATGGCATTTGCATACCAAGCAAGTGGCCAAGAACACGCACACATATACTTAACCTGCGTCTACAAAGAAGCCGGAGAAAAGGGCTGCTATTATGGCGAACATCAAAAGGGCTTCTAGTTACAGTAAGTTCAGTTCACTTAAATCTCCTTACGCAGGTTCTCCGCCTTCGACAGTTAGTGCTGCACCTAGTCTCTCCAGGTTTGAACCTGATCTCAATCCAACCAAAGCAGAAACTAGGCAGATTTTTCTCAGACATTTACATTACTGGTAATAATAGAACGTCACAGAGATCTTGCTAACAGAGATCGGGTTTTGTCATATAGTCCCCCTGTAACAGTTACGAGGCGATTGAACACACTGGCCATGCCTGTGAGGGCGACAACAAATTGCATGTCAAACGAGTTCCCTGGTTCATCTCCACCCCGCCCACCAATTCCCATCCTTCGAAACTAATCATGTTACACTACAAGCCAAATACCTGCATAAGAAACTAGTTTTTCAGAAACCAGTTTTCATTCATTCCCTCCAGACACTCTGCAGCGGCGAACGTGCCGGTACGAGGGTGTCTGAGCTTAGTCCCAACTCTCCCCCAGGAGGGATGCGGTGCAACGTGGACCAACCATCCCGCGCGCTCGGCGCTGGAGGCTGCGGGGAGCGCCGGCGCGGCATCTACCTTCAGGGGAGCTCTGCCTTCCGCCGAGGAGGGAAGCTGGTCTTGTCCCTGGACTGTCTCCTCGCTCCGCTCCCGGATCGCCCAGGCTGCGCTGCCGAGGGGAAGCGGTTCCGCCCCTCCGGCGATGCCGGGCTCCTGCTCGCTGTGGGAGGGCAGCGGCAGGCACAGGTCTCCGCACCAAGAACAGCTCCCCCTGGCCAGAGTCGGAGCCCTCAGCGGCCCGGCGCACGCTCACCCCTAGAGAACACACCCCCGCAGCCCAAGTAGCCCCTGAAACCCGCGGCGCTCGCAACAGGTCCTGGGCAGAGACGGAAACTTACAGCAGTGGCGACTGCCCTCGGCGCACAACCGGCTGGGTACTTGCTCCGCTCACAGGCGGGGAGGCGACGAAGCCGGCGTCTCA